GCGCTGCCCCTTTAAGACGCGGCCGGGCAGCCCCCCCCCCCCAGCCCCCCCTTCCCTTCCTTCGCCTTCCCCACCACTCCCTGCTCTCTCTTAGAGGCCAATTTCGTTAATTAAATGTTTTGTTTGCGACGCGGCTCTCATTCATTTCGGACACGTCATTCCGAGCAGATCTAAGCCAGGGACCAGATCTCATTAGATAAAACCTATCAGAACTAAGAGAAAATGGAGGAGACACTAATTAAAGCTTTTAATTGTGCGGACCGGCTGCCACGCCGCCGCTCTATCTGCCATCTCGGGCCGGGAGAGCCGCCCCCGCTCCCTCCCCAGCGCCCGGGGCCCTCCGCGGGGCCGCGCCGCCCCCGGCGCTGGGGCGGGGAGGGGAGCGCCGGGCGCAGGGACGGCACCGGCAGCCAGACGCGCCCCGAGCCCCTTCCGCGCGGCGGCCCGGCGGCCCGTCTCCCGCCCGCACAGCGCCCTCGCGACCGCGCCCGCGGCTCCCGCCCGGCACGGCTGCCAGGGGACGCGGCGGGCGGAACCGGCCCCGGCGGAGCAGCGCCGTGCCCCGGCACGGGGCCGCACCCCGCGGGAGGGCTGTGGGGGAGCGCCGCCGGCCCCGCCCCGCCCCGGGCACGCACGGCCCGGTCAAGTTCCAGCAAGAGAGCGCTCGGGAGCGTTTGCAGGCGGATGGCACGGATCTAAGGGAAGGCGGGCGATACAAGGAGGAGATCAATTCAAATCCCTCATCTGATAAAGCATCCTGTTTATAACCGCCTACATTAAAATAAACGGGTATTAATTTTTGGCAACGCGAAACCGGGGGGTTGCGATAAGCCTGCCTGAACTCGCCTCTGGGACACGGTGGACACATCTTCTCCCTTTAATTAGGAGTAATCAGACACAGGTTTGTTTGATGGTGCTGCTGAGTGATGGATCTGTACCACTCTGCAGCCCAACAGCGGTGTCAGTTCCTCCACTTCAAATGAGGCTCCTTCCCAGCACCGTTCTACTCTATTTAATTACCATTCTGCTGGGCTTCGGCTTGCTGCTTAGGTTGATGACCAAAAAGAGAACTACTGAACACCTCCGTGTGCCTCTGTGATGGCGGAGCATTTCCCTCTCACGACACCCCTAAAGCAAAGGCTCCCATTGCTCAAAGACACAGTGCTGCAGCCCTGCCCCATGGGCAGCGGATGGCAAGGCCGGACAGCAGGACAGGGCCGTGCAGCGGGATGGGGACAGACAGCAGGATGAAACGCAGACAGCACGGCCCTGTGGTGGCCCCATCCCATCCCACCAAGGTGCCTCCACGCACACACTCAGCCTCTAACAGTGGTCAGGTTCTACAGCATAAACAAACTTGAAGGGTTTTCTGGCTGGGCACATTTGCAGAAAGGAAGAAGAAAAAAAAAGTGGAACTTTTCAGCCATAAGGGAAAAGAAAAACAGTTAACTTCTGACATTTACTGTAAATGAGAAGCCAGAAGCCCTTAAACAAAACGCGATTTGTTTTAGCCAAGTGTGCCTGCTACACCAGGATGGTATGGGGCTTTTTTGTTGTTTTTTTTAATTACTGAATGTTGAAATAGAACACCTCCTTAAAGCATTCATGTGCATCAGTCTATCGAGCCATTTACTCAAATTAAATGTGTAATCCTTCAAAATGCCTCCTTTTAAATTAATGAGTTTAAGTAGCTTGAGTTCACCTGAAAAGATCGCACAGGCACCTGACCTCATGAATTCCTTCTATTAATTATATTGGAAACCCGTTGCAAGGGCCAACCTCCCCGTACCCCAACAGATGCGGGATTAGCAAGGCTTAGTTCCCCCTTCCCAACTCTGCAGCACTTAAAGCGAACAGCTTCGGAAAAGAAAGCGGTAAGGAGGGATTGGGAGCGCAGCCCTGCTCTCCCACCGCCCGCATTTTCCGTGCTGGAAGTTGGGAGCCGCTCCGCAGAGGCTGCGCGCAGAGCCCAGAGCGGCGGTCGGCTCCTTCGCCAGGAGAAGGGAGAATGACTCATTCTGTTTCCACTCGGAGGAGTTTAAAGGTGCTTATGTAAATATCATAATTAATCAGATACTAGAGGCAGGCGTTTCATTACTGAGCACCTCCGCAGCTGCCTTATTTCAGCCCTACGATTTTAACATTTACCGTTCAGATACGCACGCTTCTCCTTCAGCACTACAACAAAGCAGATTAATTTAGCTCTCTGATTGCTGTTTATTTTTAGTCGGGACCCGCTCCGTGCTGACGAACCGCCACAAAGCCCCGGCCACGTTCCACCCCCGGCCCTTCCCCACCCGGGCCGAGCCGTGCCCGCGGGCGGCTCACCTGATGTAGTCGTTTCTGCAGAGGATCATGCCGCTCTTGGTGTAGCAGGACGTGCCGATGTCCCCCAGCTGGGCCTGGCAGCAGGAGCACTTGAGGCAGCGGCTGTGCCAGTAGCTGTCCATGGCGTAGAGCAGGAAGCGGTCGGCGATCTTCCCCCCGCAGCCGGCGCACCTCTTCCACGAGAGGGAGCCCGCCGTCACCGGGGGCGGCTGCGCGCTGCCGCCGGGGTTCACCATGGCCTGCGGGAGAGCGGCGCGGGTCAGGGGCGGCTCGGGCCGGGCAGCGCCCGCAGTGCTCGTAGCCCGGCCCCGCCGACGGCGCTCCCAGCGAGGAAGGAGCAGCCCCGGCTGCGTTTGGCTTGTGGGGGGAGAAAGAAGCGTGCGAGGAGCGGGGAAAAAGAAAGTTGCGGAACTGGTTTATCAGTGCAGACAGTCCCCGGGCCTGGCAGACAGGGGCCGGGGGCTGCCCGCAGTCGGGCTTTTTCGGTTCGGAGACACGAGAGCGCCCGGAGAAAGCACTCCGGGCTGAGGACGCTGCCCCAAGACCGGATTGTTGAACTTCGGGCCGCCTGCTAACTTCCTTCCTACCCAAACAGAACCAACTTCTGTCTCCCTAATCTGCCCTCGATCAGCAGTTTAACGCTAAAGCCCTGTTACTCTGAGGGGAAAAAAAAAAAGTTTCCCGAGCGCAGGGGAGCAGCGCAGTGCCCCCCGGGCGGGCCGCCCGCAGGACCGCCACCGAAGGGCATTCCCCACTTTCTAACGACCGCTTAGCGCAAGAAGGACAACTGGGAGACGGCACAGGAATCAATTCATAAAGCTTACTCTAACCCGATTAGTTCGCTGCCTTCAGCGCGGAGCCCAACGAGCTGCCGGCGCTGCCCGCTCCGAGCGCACCGAGCCGCCCGCCCCGCCGCCTTTGTCCCCGCAGCGGCCCGGGCAGTGCCCGCACCCCGCTCTGCCCCCGGCCCGGCCCCGGAGGTGCGCGCAGCGACCGCACAATAAAGCGGAGAACTGCACCAATTAAGCTGTAACAAAACCCCGAGACTTTGGAAAGAAAACCACTCTAAAAGCCATTAGCATCGCATTTATCCGAACGCATCATATACCTTTATGTAAATTGATTTCTGATGCATTTGCTCGGGAATTGCCTTTTGTTACAGTTTCCAGCTACAGCCCAAATGAATCTGCATTTCCTGCTCCGATCCCTCACGCCGTCTCCCGCGCCTTAAATCACTTCGGGTTTCTTAAAAGAAAGAACCGGCCTCGGTGCCACCACCTCAGCCCGGCTTTGTCGGAGGCGAATATCTATCAAATGGGAAACGCCGCGCCGAGAACGGCATCCAGTAACCCCATTAAGCTAAAGCTCTTAAGGACAAGCAATACCCTAATGCTGATTAAATCTAAAAAGATGAATCAAGAGGACTGACCAGAAAGTGACTCCCCTGATAACTAAGGACGGGCCCTCATCAAGTTTCATTTGGAGTCGGGGGGGAAAAGCTTTTAACTTAAATAGGCGCACTCCGGTAATTACACGGCCGGAGCGCGGTCCCGGGCTGCGGGCGGGGAAGCGGGCGGCCCCCCCAGCGCTTTTTTAATGGAGACCGAGGGAGGGACGCGCGGGGAGCTGGCAATTTGTAGGACGAAAATGGATGCTTAATTCACGTCTCGGTTTTAATTAGGTGATTCACCGGATTTCTCCCGGATCGAAACAAAAGGCCGTGCGGGGGGCAGGAAGGGGACTGCCGAGGAGGCGGCGGCGCACTTTGATCTCTCCTGCCGCTGTTTCGGAGCGGTGTTTACTACGGGGACGCGGGGCCCGAGCCGCCCGAGCCCTCCCGGCCCCTCCGCCCGCGGCCGCCGGAGCCCTTCCCCGGCCCCTCCCGCTCCCTCCCGGCCCTTCCCCGCCGCGGGCGCGGGGCGGCGGCGGCCGCGCTTTGTACGCGGGGACGGCGACGACGCCGGGGCCGGTTCCCCCCCGCCCGCCCTCCCGCCCGCCGGGCCCTGCGGCAGCGCGGGACCGCTTACCTGCTGCTTCCCCTCGGTGGTGCGCGGGGCCGGGCAGCGCCGCTCGGAGGCACCGCGGAGGTTTCCTCGCCGCGAACCGAGCGCGGCGCCCGCCGCCCGCCCGCCCTGCGGCGGCCCCCGGTCCGGGCCGGAGAAACGCGGAGACGGCGCTGAGGGGCGCCCGCCGCCCTCCGGCCCCGCGGAGCCGCACGCGCAGGGGCCGCCGCCGCAAGTTTGGCGCCGCGGCCGCACTTCGCGCCGCTCCCCCCGCCCCCACCTCCGCCCCTCCGCCGGGCTCCGGCGGCGGCCGAGCTCCCGCGGCGCGGAGCCGAGCGGCCGCGGCCCGCCGAGCGCTGCGAGCGGAGGACCGGAGAGCGGGGCGGAGGCGGCGGCGGCGGCGCCGCAGAGAGCGGAGCGGGCCCGGGGGCGCGCGTGTCCCTGCGCGGCGAGCGGGCCCGCGTGCTGCGCGGCCGCTGCCCCTCACTCACACATGTGTTACTGACAGAGCAGAATCCCAACTACACTCCGGCCCGGCCCCGCCGCCCGCCCGCCGCAGCCAATCCGCCCCCGGCTTGTTCAGGCGGAATAATAAAACCTGCCAATCCCGGGGAAGACAAAGGAATGAGTGAAAGAGGAGGAAAAAAAAAAAAAAAAAAAAAAAGAGCGAGGGAGAAGGGGGGGCAGAGAGGAGGAGGGGAATGGAGGGGAAGGAGGGAGTCAGGTGGGAAGCGGCGCCCGCCGCCCCCGCCCGGCGCTGAGCAGCGGCGCCCGCGGCCGTGAGGGCACCGCGCTGCTGGCGGCAGTCGCGGCACCGCGCCCCGCTCCGCTCGCGGCCACCAGTTGAGAAAGTTGGCGGCTCCCGCCCCGAGCGGCCCGCCCGCGGCGGCGGCACGCGGCTGAGCGCTGCGGCACCGGCCCTCGTGGCGCCCTCTGGGCACGGCGCCGGGCGCCGCCCGCGGCCCTCTCCCGCGCCGGGGCAGCTGGGGGGGACGCGCGGGTGTCTGCCGGGCGGACCGCCCCCCCGCAGCCCCAAACCAGCGGCTGCAAGTCGGCGCCGGGGTACGGCCCGCCGCTACGGCAGCGCCCCGCGAGGGTCACGGTGCTGCGGGCGGACGCTTGAGAAGACGGGTTTCTGAGAGGGAAGCCCGGGGATGGCGGTGAATCAGAAGTAACGCTCAGTAGGGACTCTTGGAAGTGGAACAAATGCGTACTAACGGCGCGCTTCTGAGGCCTAAGCGTGCCGCGCAAGACGAGCGTGAGCGCACCCGGCCGAAAAGCCCCTCGAAATGTTCGAAGTGCCCTCAAGCACGAGGCGCTGTCCCGGCGCGCCCGGCACGCGCTGTGCGGACACGAGCAGCCGCTCCTGCCTGGCACCGACGTGCAGAGCGCGTGCAGGCGTCCGTCACGCAGCGCGCACAGATGCGCGCGGCGCAGGGCCGAGATGTCGCACGGCTGTGAAAGAACCGAACTTCACGGGGCCGGTTCCCGCTGCCAGGCAGGACGGCAGGGCGCGGTGGGAGGGCTGACCCTGCCGTGGGCGGCTGGCCGCAGCACTCGGGGCACCGCCAGCGCCGTACCCGGCGCTCGGCGCCCACCGGGTGAACCGACGGCACCTTTGTGTGCGGCAGCCGTTGCAGGATCGACAGAAGGTTTCTGTCCCCGCTCAAAGCTGGGGCACGCCAGCTCCGGTGCGCGGAACTTCAGGCGGGAGTCTTTCCCCGCAGCAGACGCGCAGGCGGCAGAAGCGGAGCGCTCTCCCGGCAGGCCGGCCGGCCGCCGGCTCTGCAATCACGGCCCAGGTGTGCTTGGACCACACCGCCACCTGTGGGCCTCCGCCGTGCCTGCACCCCGGCCGCCGCCGGACGGGCAGCTGCGCGCCCGGGAACCGCACATCTGAAGAGAAAAAAGAGTCTCTCTAAAAAATAAAGAAACTGGGAGAAACAGGATACCAAATAGATGTTTTGCTTTCTTATAAAGCCAATAAGGTATTGAAACTTGAGTAGCATCAGAGGTATTTTTAGAGGAAATACATATTTAGGGGAAAAGCCCATTTCTGTCTCTTTCCATCAGCTGGATTACGTTCAGGATTGGTGCTGAAGCAGCCGGGAGCTCATGGAAAGCTACCGGGTGGGGGGCGGGGGAGAAGGGGATGAGGACCAGCGTGGTGGCTAGAAGTGATGCTTTTTTTTTTTTATCACAGGTCTATGAAGTGTATCATCTGGATGTAATCCCCATGTATATATTACATTTAAACACACTCAGCAGTTTCAGATTTGGTATTTAGGATCTGTTACAGTTTAAAATATATAAAGTAACAAGGCACGCTACAGATAATCAACTGTCACTGACAGCCAAGAGCACAGAACGGAGCAAATGCCAAGCTAAAATAAAATCTGAGTTGCCTAATTATCTAAGTTCTAATGGCTGGAAGCTACCAAACACAGCTCTGGAAAAGCCATCGGGACCTCTCCTCCCTGGGAAAGATATTCTCCCAAGAAACTGCCATCGGCACTAAACTGTTTACTCATCTTAAAACTGATAGTGATACGAAAAATGGGAATTACCTTCTGAAGGAGTAGGACTTTAAATGGTTTAATGACGTTTTCCAAATAGCATTACAATGCTCATATCTTCTGCTGAAATCTAATCTTCACTAATTTTTGTGATTAATTTTAACAGAAGAAACCTTAACAGACAGCATTTTGCAGAGCAATATTTTTCTAATTTTTCTTTTGTGCAGCATCTGTTGTTGCTGTGCTGTCATCTTCGTTATGTTTTTCATTGTCTATGTGCCATAATGTAATTAGTTAGTTCAACATCATCTGTGCTATTAGATGAGATGTTTCTATGGTAAGTTAGCATAGTTCTGTGTAATTGGTAGATTTCAGCAGTAGGCATGAATGTATCCATCAACTTTAGGTCGATTTGAGTCCGCAAGATTTAAATTCACTTGGCATACATTATCCTTGAAGACTGTTAATTTTGGCTGAATGGATAAAAAACACAATGCAGAAGAAAATCTGGCTGCTTATCTTGCGTACTGTTGGAGTCAGGGAAAGGAAGGCATAAAATTGCTGGCGTAGTAGTTGCAATCTAAATGTCTGGAAAACGTTACAGGCTGTGATCCAAATCCTTCACTCACCTAGTCACACCCAGAGATAGCAGGTAGTCCAGCATTCACCAGGGTTCTCTCTCCATTCATGAAGGGAGCTCTGCTTCTCTCTTTAATATACTGCATTCCTACGGGATCTCAATCGTCTTTTCCTGTTCTCATTAGAGAGAAATGTTGAGGCTGCTGCTTTGTCTTGAGATCTCCCACGTCACACTGCTAGGCTTTGTGTCTTGAATGCTACATCTTTAGAACAAACAATTAGACTGAGACTCTCTCACCCCAGCCTTTTTGGAAACAGTGAGGAAAAATCAACAGCCATTTCCTACCTTGAAGTAATGTAGAAGGGTCTTAACTTAAAAATGTGACCAAATTAAGTATTATATTTGGATATCCAATGACAGGGGAGAGCGCACACCCTCGCAGAAGTGAGGAAGCACCCTGGATGTCCTTACTCTCAGCATTCTTTTCCAAACAGCAGACTGTGCTGTTTGCCCCAGAGAGAAAGATAACTCACTCTTAGAAACATATGTATAAATTTTGACTTGCTTATAAATACATGAGTAACTTTATTTACAGGAACCCAGTACCATGGAAGTAATTAGTAAGCATGACTCACTTAGGTAAGGGCTTTTATCATCACTGTATCCATAACTTAGGACAGGAGCCAAATAATATAAATGTCAGTAACTATAGATATATATTTATATTAACAATGAAGTCCACTCTAGGAAGAGCTAAGACTATATTTGTAATGACCTCATACAGCTAAAATTACGTTCACTAATTTGTCCTGAGCACATCCCTATTGGAAGAACTGATGTACTGCCATGAGCCACCAGCAGCAGAAAGTCCTGAAATTGAGTTCTGGAACTAAAGTCAAAGACATCAGTTTGAACTTACACAGAATTCATGTTTTAAATCAAAAGTCTTTACATGCCACTAGAATGTAATATGTAATAATAAGTTTGCTACATAAAACAACCTTAATTTTGAAAGAGGACTTTAAATTCCATAGTCTAACAAAGCATTTTTTAAGTAAATCAGTTAAATTGTTTTGATTTTCTTAAATGGATTCTAGCAATTGATTTCTGTGATTACAAATCTGTAAAATGATACATTGTCACTCATAGAAACAAGAATATATTTACAATTAGGATATTACCACCTTTAACAAGAAAAATCCGTACCATATTTAAGTGTTTTGCAAATACTTAAGAATATATATTCTTATGGAACTTATCCTTTAGAGTGAAAGAATGTTTTCTTCACAGATATTTTTATAGTGCTTGCACTAACATGTTGCCTCTGTTCACTAGTCACCATAATAAATGGACAGATTACAGGATGGGACAGCAGAGTTTGGTGCTGTTTGAAAGCCCAAATCACAGATGAAAGCAGCCATTGAACTACTGTAAACTTAAAGAACAACAAAAAAAATCAACTGGATAAGAATTTAAAAAATAAATGAAACAGGCTAGTTCAATGGAAAGAGATGTTCGAACCTGAAGCAGAGAGGTACATATTAATGCTTCTGAGCATACATCATGTTTTATAAGAATATGTTTTTGTTAAGACACCACATCTTTTCAGTCAGAATTCACTTCAGAAAGTTTCAGCATAGAAAATCAACTTGTCTTCTCTTCTGTCTGAGATAAGAAATCATCAAAACATATTAAATGCTTTCCACTCAGAGCTGACTTTTTCCTTTCTTGTAGCCATTTTTAAGATTTCATTTGTCAAAGGAACACTTTTTTTAACATCGCAGCTGCACTTTGTTGTGGTTTCCAAAAAGAGTCCTGGCAGAATTTAGTTAAAACAATGCTTTGAAATAATTTGTTACAATGAAAAATAGAAATTTAACTCTAGCCCTTTTTAATTGTTTAATTAATTAGTCAAGTACGTTTAAAATATTCAGAAGGAAGTTGTTTCATGCTCAATTGAATGAACTGCATGCTCAATGTTTTTGGTGGCGTTATCTGCACGTAATACTTTAATAATTGCATTGGAAGACTTTTTAAAGACCTGGACATGTCTGCATATCCTGTGTTATTAGAATATATGCCTGTTATAAGTGCATCCAGGAAGCGAGTTACTTACTGTAACACACTGCCATGGAGGAGTACGAGTGGTATCCTTATGAAGGCCCCATAACCCCTAGATGAGGCTATTATTTACAGAAAGGATCCACAGCCGATATTTTTGCTGTGTATTTTGCACCTACCCACAGAGCTTGTCACAACTGACTTGGCTTCAGTGAAGGAATGGAGGAGTGTTCACTTGAACCATTTTCTCTATAGATCTTCAGGGGAAGTCCACAACTTAAGAGTTTCCAAGGATTTTGGTGATCGATGGGAAGGAGCAGTTAATATATCTAAATGTTTATGGTGATTGTTTCTGATAGAAATGTTGACATCAGCTATTGTTTCAAAGAGGTGAGGGAAAAATAAGGTATGGAATGAGATCTGAAAAGCGCATATTAAAGGGATCTCTTGTTGAAGTTGTCTTTTTAATGTAAGGGCTAACAGCATAGTATAAGAAAATTGAGGGTTACAAAAGTAAAGAGGAAAAGCAGCCTGGTGACTTGTGTCTGGCAGAACTGCCTCTATTGCATTTGATTTGAAATTTACATAGATGCCAGTAGTTATGACACAACTGTCACTCGAAGTTCACTTAACTGGACATGAAACAATAATGACAAACAATCAGAATGACAGTTCTTCTATTCTGCAGTCAGGTTCTTCATATCTCAATTTTGCAACATTCCTTCTGTTGACTCCACCAGACAAATGTGCTTCTGTTACTATGATTTCCCTGTTTGACTCAGTACAGCCTTTCAGGAAGAACTATGCAAGTTTCTAAGCTTTCTATTCAGCTTTTTTGTTATGCCATTTATCAAAGCAAAAGCTTCTCAGTAACAGTTTTTTAACATTAACTCTTTAAGAGTTATTTTGCTGATGTAAAATTATTTAAAAACATTTTCTTGCATACAAATAGTACATTATTTTTCATATGAAAATATAGCTCTCTACTTTTCTAAAGTTCTTCAGAACTGGAGTGACTGCTATACTCCATGACCATAGCTCTTTTTATCATACTAGTATAATTCAGTAGCTTTTGCTGTCTTATAAACAATCTTACAATTAAGAGCTAATGTTAATGGAATAGATTGTTGTCATAGGATAATGGTTTCCTGCTGCTAGATAAATGCTGTGGCAATGCTAGGACATTTATTGAAAGTAATAGCGAAGACAAAGCTCAGAGATTTATTTTTAAAGCAGGTGCCACGGATCCAGTGACACCATTCTGTTACGATTGTTTTATTTCTGTTTTACTAAAAGACTGATGAAGATGGAAGTGTTTTGCCTGATGTATGAGACTGCAGCAAAGTGACAGTGGCTCATTTCACTGTTCCTGAACAAGCTGCACTGCACTTGGCTCATGGAGAGATTTATTGTGCAGCTCACCCAATCAGAAAGCAGCTTATCCATTAACTACAGCTTTAAAATATGTTGTATTTCTATGAACAAGATGGGGCTTGATGCTTTCTCTCACTGAAGCTGTTAGACATAGTTTACAGAGGAGGAAGAAAATGAAGCCCTACCAGACCCGTCCCTCAGCACATCCAGAAGCCGCTCTGCACCACAGGCATGGCTCAGGGAAATCTCTCTGTAGCATGCTCCCCTCGTCCCAAATTAATGGTTCTTTGTCTTCCTTCTCCTGCAGCAAAGAGTGTTGCCTCAGCATTAGCAGAGCAGAAATGGCAGCAGAATTGACTAGTTTAATGTTTCTTCTGTCTTTGAGTTCACAGGATACCAAAGTTTTGGAAAATATGCTCTCTTCCTTTTCTAATACTTTTAAAACTACTCACTCCTGAATGCTCTGACAAGAGAATATGAAAAGCAAAACCTGTAGCATCCTAGGCTCTCTATCTGTTCTTGTGGAAATGCAATAAAATACCTAGATTACCCCAAGTGTTCACCTCCTACAAAACAGGAGCTGCTTGTCAGAAGGGTGTGGAATCCACACGATTTAACTTTCAGGCTTTCTCTGGACAGATATGCTCCAGCAATCTAACTTAGGCCTCTCGTATCTTTTGTCTTTTCTTTGGAACTGTAGAGCACCTATTCCAAGCAACACTGTTGTAGCTATGACAGTTTAAAGATATCCCACAAGTAATAAAATATAGAATCCTTTCCCACAGACTCTGATCATTCCAAAACATCGTTAAAGTTATGTTGTAAAACAGTATAATGACTTTATATGACCATAATGTCCCTGCTAGGATTTCCTTAGAAAACAAACTAATTATATTATTAAAGCCCACAGACCTTGATATCAAACCAGCAATTCACTGTTCCAAGGGCTTACTCTGTAGCTCTCGCAGCACAGCACTGAATTAACTTCTAAGGCCAGAGCTTGAAAGCAGTGAACAACTTTAACCTTTTCTTGACCTCAGACATCTGAAAAACAAGAATTCAGTAAACACGTGAATTTCTCAAATTTCTCTTTAACCCATATGCAGATGTTCCGAGAATTAATTCATTCTTCATCTTCTGAGTTTTAAGATTTTTTTTAATAATAAATGAGCAAGTGTTACAGCACTTGTGCCAAAGAGCCACCAGATGAGGATGGTCCTCCACTGAGCCCAGCTATTTACGTGAGGTGAGCACTGAGGACAACTTCACAGAGAGAAGCAGAAATGAGAGAAACCTGTAATTCAGACAGGATGAATCCTAGCAACTGTGAGGTGCATGAGGTCATCTGAAGAGCACATGGGTTACAGAGCTCCAGTGAATGCACACTCTTCCAAACTTGATCCCCATGGCTGCAATGTATCAGACTTCATTTGCTAATGCACATGCCTCCCTGCAGCAGTCTCCTATCTGAAACTGAGGATTCACAGGAAAGTTAGAGGAGATGGAGAATTTCCACATCTTTAAAACACTGTTGTTTCTTACCTATGTGCCTCTAAGAATATAACTGTTGTAAAGTCCTACGATTTTATCCAAATATTTGCTGTATCTATTTAAAGTTGCAATTCTGGAATCATGCTCTTTTATACAAATCTGCTTTCAATTTTTTCTAATAAGAATTTTGAGTCTTCCTGGTTAGGTAAAAACATTAACTCTTAAGGATCAGCCAGAAACAAATACAAAGATCTTCTTCTCGTTTACTAGTTTATTTAAAAGTTGATTCTTCATTTGACATAATAAATAGTAATGAGCTGTGAATTTCTGCATGTTGAGGGTTGCTAGTAGAGCAAGTGGGTATCCTCTCACCACATACAGAATCTGCTCAAGGAATCCTCCTCAGTTCAAGGAATTATTAGACCAACTTTGTTGATGGGCTTCTCCACATCACACAGGACTGTGTACAATCAATCAATATTTAACATCGTTACTACAGGGGGACAGAATTCCCCATCCTATTTTAAAGCAAATCCTCAGCCTCTTGCAGCTCCTCTGACTACGGCTGTGTACATCCTGGCTGGATCTGGCCCAGACTCTTTATTTCTAGTGCATCAGATGATTAATTATGTGGTTTCTTTCTGTTTGTCTGATAGACGCTGAGGTAAGAGAGTGATGGTTGCTTAGTGCACTATTATTAAAAAGCTGCTTTTCATAGCCCTGAACAGGCTTGAGCTGTGTGCTACAACTAATCATAAAGCTGCTTACTTGGAAATGTAATGCTTGTTAATACTATACTGTACTTTTATAAGTAAACTCATTTTTGATTGGCTAGTATTTAACTATAATCAGTAATTAAGGGTCAGCCATCCAGTAAACTCATTAGTTTACACCAATTACATTTGGTATAGTAACTAATGATTCCATGGATCAAGCCATTTATTTCTAAGCTTTCAAAGTATAATTATTGTGTAAATCAGATAGAGTGTAAATCTCTTCCATACGTTTTGGTTGGTAATTGAGAAATAAAATGGTTTCCAAATGTATTCTCTGTCCAGTTTTTGTTCTGCAGTAGATCTCTCGGGGGACTCTTTAAAGTATATGGAAAAGGTGATGTCAACAGCAGTGTACGCTGGGCAAACTGAGAGAGGATTAATTAATAGAGATGAAAGAGAAAAGCCAGCCCCTTGCAAATTGTGGTTCAGGCCTCAACTTGGACATCACACCTTAAATGACAGTTTACAGTCCTGAGCATGAGTCACGCAGATTGACAAGTATTCAAAATAGAAGAGAATTAAAAATCCTTTATGTTTAATGTATAAAGGCCTTTCCAATACGCAGTCTTTAAGATGGTGTAATCTCTGGAGTATTTTGCTTTGAAGTTTAATATGTAGTTCCTCACATCCACATAACATTTTCAACACGTTAAACAAATTAGTCTCTGGTTACAGAAGTTTTTAGACATTTACAAGTTGCCATTTAACTAAATTTAATATGTGCCAGTGAAGTTGCTCATGCACTTGTTCATTTAGAAAAATGCACTTTTGGAATGATTAATAAACAAACCAGCCTTTCCTATCCCTTCAACTTTGGTGTTTATTTGAAAGCAATCTACTTTAAAAAGACATTAATATCCCTAGAATTATTATTAGAATAATTGCTTTTACTCTTCTCGGAACACGCATTTTTTCTCATTTCCCTTCAGCACAGACAGCTTTCGACTCAGATATAAACTTCCTATTATTATTCCCCACTCCCCACCCCAAAAATGAAGAATAGGAATTATATACTTTTCACTAAGGAATAATTAATTTGTCTCAAGTATTAGAACAGAGAATTGTAGAATGACTTTGAATGGTAGTCTCTAAGGAGTAGCATTGTTTGTTCTCTTCGGTCTTTAATGAGCTTTAGTAAATGGCCAGGAAAAATTACCTTCTTTCTGTAATATGAGAGAAGCGAAGAATGAAGGAAGCTATAGAACAGATAAGAGAAAAGGGAGCAGCCACACAGACACACACACCAAGCCATGGTACCACAGCTCTTCCACTGGCTAGTATTTTCCTTTGGAACAGAGCACTAGAAGTCCAGTTTTTCCATTCGAGTTAAAATATATAACATCCCCAATAATTCTGTATGAGAGAAAATTCCTGGATGTCTCCCACCTATTTACAGAGTCTGGCTTGTGCTGTGGGACAACTGCCTGTAGAAGAGCTTGGAAGTCATTTTGGCTTCCTTTCTTTGGCATTGATTTTGCATTTTAAGACTCTTTAGTCTGTTTTTGTTGTATTCTCACCTTCAGAAGCAATCACCCTTACAGTGCCCCAGTCTGTTGCCCTGTCTTTTAGCAGATTTCTTTTCCCTCCACTGCATTTTCATTGTCACTCCTGTTCAGAATGGCCACAGAGGCAGTAGCGACAGGTGTGTGTGTTTTCTAAGGATACGGACCTGTCACCATGGATAACAGAGTACGTTCAAAAGCACCTTTCCCTTCCCTCCTGTACAGCCTCCACATATTTCCTCACTACCCATTCCCACTATTTGACTCTCAGCAGCCAAGTGAGACCAGAACAGGCTGAAAGAATCCATTGGAATAGGGGCTCTCTCTGATCCATTCCCTTGGAGCTGTTCCAGTTTATAAGGAATAATTGCTCTCAGAGCATTACTGAGGACAAGAAAACCTGGTTTCTGGGGGTTCTGTTTCCCTTTTCTAGTGAATACTTCCATATTTTGTATTTCTCAGGGTAGGGCCTGACAGACATGTTTTTCTGCTATGCAGCTGACAAGACTAGCCCAAGCTTTCCCACATGAAGAAAGGACTCAGGGCACACACACTCAGAACTGCAAGGACACACTTCCTGCAGAACAGCTGATAATCTCTTGGGTAGAGTGCTGACTCAGGGGGGCAAGGGAGTCCAGCTCACCTTGCTCTTGGCAGAGCTGAAGACAAGTCTTGTGTCTCTCAGTTTAATAGCACAAGCCAGCAGACTGAACCACAAAAGTCTATTAAAGAAAAAAGGGCAGAGGAGCGCACGGGCAAGACGTGCAAAAGGCAGCAGTGCTATCTGCCATTATTCTGTGGGAAAGGCCTGGTGCAAGTGTCCAGTTCCTAGAAAGAGGCTGAGCAAGCATGGCAAACAAAGAAAGTGGCACAAAGCATTACAACACCTTCATGTGATTGTGGCTCAATGGGAGGTGCTCTTGTGGCAGACATCAAATTGCTGGCTGGAGCTCAAGGGCACCGGGGAGGTGGAGAAGGATGATGAACATGGGGAGAGCTGCTTGGACCCATCCCAGACATTTAGGGAAAAGATAAAAGGAAAAGGCTGCTGCCAAGGCAAAAATCATTTCTCTCTATCATGGGCTCTCTTTAGTGCAATTGTTAGAGAAGAATAAATGGAGACAGATGTATGACAGACAGATAGGAGGCAGTGAGGACAGGACTAGTAAGTGAGGCAGAAACACTGGAAAGAAGACAAAACAGAAGAAACGTAAGAAACATGAGAATTGGACAAAGAAAAAGGGGAAGAAAAAAGGCTGACCAACACTTCTGGTGTTGCCTTGATCTTCTGGCAATAAAATAACAGTAAGACAATCGCCGAGCATCTGAGTGACTCTGAAGTCCATAATATTTAGGAGGCATTGAAATGTCCTGTTGATCATGATCATGTTAAAAAAAAACCAAACAGTAAAACTTCTGACAAGTCTGAAACGCTCTGTCAGGAAGACAGAAAGGAACAGGACTTAAGCACTCAATTTCATGTGTGTACCCAAGTACTAAAATCCACACCCAAACACACTTACGCTTTTTAATAGTAAAAAAGATTGGGCCTATTTCAAACCAGCAAGAACACATGGTTTAAAGTACACGGCTGCTCTTTCTTCAGAATCAACCTTCTGTGACTTCTATAATTTATTCCTCCCAAGATTCATTTGAACATCTGCAGTATCATTATTTGAGTTTGTTATACTATTACCTTTAAAATTTTACAAGCCATACAGTAGGATAGGTGACAAGTTGAAAAGTTAAGGAGGGTTAATTTAGAAGTTTTAAAGCAAAGCTATTTTTGAGTTATACAAGTGCAAAAAAGCATGTGAATCCAAACCTCCATGGTTACATTTAAATAACTCAAAAACTGCTGAAAGGATTTTCTTCAAACTTCACTCAAGACAAATCCCTCTGGGCTAAGACCAAGCATGAGAATTTAACTCAAAAGGTGATTGTTGTCTGAAGGGAGTTTTCTTCCTCCCCCGCCCCCCCCCCCCCTTTTTTTTTTTTCCTCCTGCTTATTTTGTTTTCAATGTTCTAAAAAAATAATAGCACTGAAAAATAAGGGCCTGGAGTGTAACTGTTTCATATCCATTTTATCATTAAAATAAGAAAAATGCTGTTCGTAAACTACCTTTTTATTAAAACCAGACCCATTTCTCTGCCTCTAGCCATTACCAACAGCCTCAGTACCCACCTATGTCAGGCATTTGCTGTAACTGGGTGGCTCAACAGAGAAGTGTGGAGCTGTACTCCCAGTCCCATCTGCAGCTTCTTTGCATGCCTCAGCAGTTCAGCTCAGCTCTAATACTACCCTAAATGGACAACTGAGGATTCTCCTCAGCAGGAAGTCTTTGGAGAGAGGAGAACCAGCAGCTCTCCAACAGTCCTTCCTTTACTTTCCATCCCCAGTTCATGGGAGGTGAAGTATACTCTGTACCTGAAGGCTGACCTCAACGATGTTTTGATTTTCCACCAGTCCAGGATTTGGAAAGCAGAAAGGTAGCTTGCAGTCATGCTTTTCTCAGCTCACTGACTGCAAACTTAGTGTATTTGGCAATCTCATTCATTCTTCCCCTTTACAATTGAAACCAAGGGTCTTACCTCCTGGTCATGTAGCTGCAGGAACTCCTGTAGAGGAAGAGCCTGATCAAAAACGATGGAACCATTTTCTTCCTAAAGAAAGGTCCACTTTAAGAATAGTATCAGGAGTCTGGTAGCATGGTTGCATGGTTGTCTGGGTTAAAAAAAAAGAGAGAGAGAGAGAGAGAAAGAGAGAGAAAGAAAGAGAAAGAGAGAGAAAGAGAGAGAAAGAGAGAGAAAGAGAGAGAAAGAGAGAGAAAGAGAGAGAAAGAGAGAGAGAGAAAGAGAGAGAAAGAGAGAGAGAGAAAGAGAGAGAAAGAGAGAGAGAGAGAGAGAAAGAGAGAGTGAATTTATTTCCTGCTGAACTCTCCCACATTTTGTTCTCTACGAATTGTCCCAGGGCAGACAAGGGCCATTCCCTCCCCCTTCTATCCAGACTTGCTTCTGATTCTGGCAGCACCTCCCACAGTTACTCATTCATTTGTTTATTTGTTTTTCCATTTGCAACTTTTGCCCCCTCCAAAGAGCTGGTTTGCCAATGAAATAACAGTAACTTATTTCATTTCAAATGTATTCAGAAAGGCATTTGAATTGTTCCTTTTCACTGACAACAATGTCTGAATTTGGAACTTGTGAAAAACCAATGGGGGAGATTTGGAATATGTTTGCTAAAATAATTCATCACATTTAGCCAAAGCAACCCAGATAAATGTGGAAATGGCATCCCTTGTCTATCCCTCATATACATGACCAGGACTAAAAGCTGTTTGGGAAAGGTCCAACCCATTGTTTATGGTCCTAATGCAATGAGGCTTGCAAGCTGCAGCAGTACCGCAATGCCTAGGGATTTGTTTCAGGAGACCCTGAGTTTGGAAACAAAATACATGTTTCCTAATGACTGCTAACACTGAACAGTGGGAAGTACAGCTGAAAAGGGCATAGAGAGGTGCATCAGGAAGCTGAAGTCTTGGGCTCAGTTCTTATTTGTTCCAATCTTGGGGAAATCTACTCCAGCAAAACAAGGAGGCCTTAAAGTTGATAACATGTGGTAGCTTACCAAGTAGCGAGCAGCTCCTGCAAGCTCTGTGCTGCATGCACTGCCAAAGCAGGCAAAGCCCAGCAAACCTTCAACAGACAGGGAAAGTTTTAAAAATAGATTGTAATATTTAAATAATCAAAGAAACTTTTCCATTAAGAAATGTCCTATATGCTCTCTGCCACCAAACTTCTGGGGTATTGTTTTTCACTCAGCATTTCAAGCTGTCTGCTACTATCTCATTCATACAGCTTTTTCAACACAGGTCAATATTATCTGACTAGATTCAGATTAAATCTTAATACATGATTCACCTGGAAAACCCTGATTCCAAGCATACTGAAAAGCTGCAGATACCATACAGTGCAGTTACCATGGATGATAACGTATTAAAACATATCCCAGAAGGAAGACTAGCAGGGAAAGGAGGAGTGCAGAGTTATGGCCACAGAAGAGAATGTCCTTCATTTTCAGCCGAGATTTTATAGAAGAGTGAGAACAAATGTGGCAAAGAGAAAAGTCTGTCCCCTTACTGCTCATTCTGCAGCTAAGATTTTGCATCAGCCATGATAAAATTAGGCAGAGATGTAGCAGATCTGAGTATTGTACAGGAAGACATGGAAGGAGCAAGAGTTCAGTGCAGTTCAAGGATGGAAGGGTATAATGAAGGCAAATGGAAAGCAAAGAGTTGAAACGGAAAGAGATGAGCTCAAGGAATCTGATATGAAGACATAAGTTTAATTAATAAAGACAGGCAGAGCAGGCTGAACAGAGAAGACTCATTTAAAATGTCAAAATATATCTTTAGTTATGGCCACTAAGGTAAAAATAAATGAAGTTATGTAGAAAAAGCATGAAAGTTCAGGGGTGCGAGACTGTGTTTAATGATAGGAGTGGTGAGAAAACCTGAGGCTGGATGGAAGCTCTTCTGGGAGGTGATAGCCCTATTTCAGTGCTTGCTGCTGCCATCTGGGTACCCAGCATCTGCTCCATTAGTGAGAGGGATCACAAATTGCCTTCTAATCTGTTTCAAACTAAGTCAGTCAGATTCATTTCACCTGGTGATGAACATGGATATGAGCTAACCAGGCTGGCTTTACTTGCGGTGCATTAGGGAATGCTTGCTTGGCCTCTTCTGTGGGGAAGGACCAAGAGGCAGCAAAATGTGGTGTAATTTTCAGCAAGGCATTGAGGAGGAAATTTGTTTTGTCTAGCAGAGCACACAAACATGTAAGGCTGGAACCAATCCAGACACATGGAAGAATGCAAATTTCTAAGAGTAAAAGTTATTATCAGCAATACTGAGTTCAAGAAAAGTTGATATTTCTGTGTCTCATTACTATGAGTAAGGAACATGTTTACTATCTCTGTTACTGGTGCAAGGATAATTTCTGCAGAAGCATATCTATGTGCTTGGGAAAAATAACAGATACTGGTTGGTAACCAGCAGGAACCACAACAGAGGAGACCCATGGTTTTACTGTCTCTGGTCCAGTACAAAGCTGTAATCTATGCTACTTAAGCTTCATAAACTCAGCATTTGCAAATGCCTAGTAGTCAAATTTTTTTTTAAAAGTGGGTAATGTTGAAGTGCAACTGCACATAAGCGATCACTAGGACAATATATAGTGGCTTTCACTTCAGGGTAATAGCCTAATTTCCATGTTCCTTTAGGAACTTGGATGAGGTGAATTGGTACTGCAAGGAAGCACATCAAAAACTTAGCTTGCACACAGTTAATTTACTTCTATTACCTCAAGTGGCCCTGTTCTTTAAGGTGGGTTCACCATAGGAAGCTTGCTCTACTTCAGCTATTGCTATAACAATTCAAAGAGAGGGAACAAGAATTTTGGCTCTAAAAGTGGATACATTTTTGAAACACTAAAATAACCTCTTTAACTATAACAGGGAAATATTCCTGGTAACTCACTCTGTTGTGCTCCCCATAATTAGAGCTGAGAGTAATAACAGATTACCTTTTTGCAAGAGAGGGGCCATCTCCTTTTGTTCTTAGAAGGACTGCAGCTCTAAACTCTTTGCAACCACTTTCACATCTATATTATCATTTTGACTGAGGCTTTAAATATCTAACTCGGTAAGCCTTACGTTGCTTAGTTCTCCACCATGTATCTTCTTATTTTGGGTGCCTGTCATTCACATTTCTGCAAGGTTCAGCTGAAACCATTAAGTATTTCATGTTACCAGTGCTCTGCACTGCAAATATTAAGAAGCAAAATTTGCAATCCAGGTCATTCACAGAACATTCTTATACAGCACATAATATTCCAAAAGCTAAATTAATCTTGCTTCACAATGTGAGGCTCTGTGTACGTGTGGTTTCTGATACAAAAGGCTCGACTGAAATCAATGGTATAGGCATCATATTAACTCAGACCCAGTTCTTTCAGGTCCATGAAACGTAGTCGTGTGCTTTCTAATTCAGAAATCAAATGTAACCAAGAAGCTCAGCTCCTCTTTTTAAACAGTGTGTTAAACAGTTTCAATCCAATTTACCTTTCACAGATGAAAACATAAATCAGTAGCTGGTCTCCACTCCACATGCTAATTTAACGAGATGGGGATCTGACCACATGTGTATATATGCTCCAGGAACCTGCAGACCTTTTCCTCCATACTGCATTCAGTTTGGATGCATGCCAAAGAACTACACATGAGTTAAAAGGAGGAGGGAAAGGCAGCCCGGCCTACCAGCTTGCATCAGGATCCAGAACAAGAGTGTGAGACGTAGGTCAGGATTTCAGTACCATCCATATCCTCCCCTGATGATCACTCCAAGAACAAATGCACAAGTTGCTGAAAGCAATCTCACAGTCCAGACAGATGCTCTGGGACATCTCCTCAGGATGATGTCTGGGGTCACCACTCAGCAGCTGGAAGAGCTCTTTCCCACAGTTCAGAAGGACTCCAGTCTAAACAGAGATGGTCTCTCAGAAGAAAGCCCCATGAAGAAGGTGACCCAAAAGCACCCACAGATCCACTGTTTGGCTCACTGTACGGTGAACTACAAAACAAAGGACCTTTGGGGTTTTGTCTGGTAGGTCTTCAAAGAAGGTGTGCAATGCCTGTAAGAATGCAAAATGGAGTAAAAAGGCAGAAGATAAATATTCATGCACAAACATCAATTGTGTTTTGGCACTACTCACACTGCATGACTTCTGCTGAGCTGACAGGACTGTGACTTGAAATACAGACGCCAAAACAGCAGCATCTCCTCAATTTCTGTCTCCTCTTTGCCTTGTCCTAAAGATTATTGACCCAGAGGGATGAAGTCTTGCATTCACTTTTCTCAGATGTCATGCATCTGTGAACTGAGTTCATTCATAAACAGCTCCCTTTCACTGAACCAGTCCAAATTCACTTCATACACTCATCTAGGCAGCAGCACAGCATTGCTCCAGTTGTGCAAAAGCAGACAGACTTCATCAGACAGATGTTCAGTGAGCAGGGAATCTCTGAAATGGGACTACCTATTGCAAGGTATCTGGCATCATTGAGAAGGTGAGGCAAAAGTGCAAAAAAGTAGAATAAAGCTAGTGAATAAAGGCAGGGTACAGAAAAAAGAGATAATACTGCTGAAAAATTAACTGATTGTTCAAAAACAGATTGCAGGACATGTCATTCAAATAGCACTACTGGTCTCTTGTGATTAGCCTTCTCCCTATCTACCAACAGAAAAATTAAATATAGGCCAGATTTTGCTTAAGTGCCAAAGGAAAAAGGAAATTATATTAACCATGCCTGTGAATCTCAACAACAGAATTATAAATTATCTTTACATTTTAAATTTATTTTAAAAGTCTGTTTATCTTAGCTTATCAGATCAAGCTCATTAGAAAATCAAAAATTGCAAGTCCTGTGATGTGAGGACAAGTAATACCAAGAGTGAAAAGTCAGCATATCCCCAGCCTGTGGGATAGTAGAGCCATCTGCTAGCAACATTTAGGAAATGTCCTTTGGGTGGAAAGCTTCCTTGCAGCCTCAGGCTTTGTTATAGTAACTCAGTTTAGCCCTTAAGCTTTTTAATATGTGTAACTCCAGTTCAGAGTACCTAACATCCAGGCCTCAGTGTGGACCCTAATATACTGTCCTCTAAAACAGGGTAGCCATCTATGCAGTGGTCTCTTGGTGGTATCACACTGAAATCAAAAAACATTTGCACAGGCACAGGAATCCCTGCTACCCCATATCAGATCACAGTGTTAATAAAGCCTGTCCAGAAAACAGGCTTTATTTTCCTAGAAGAAAAGCCAGCAGAAACAAGTTAATTATGTTTCTTTCTCTCTGTCTTAGTTATACAGGAGTGTCATTTGTTCTTTTATGTTTTTATTACACAAAGTCACACCAGATCCAACAATGCAAGCACCTCCCTCATTTCACTGGTGTTTGGCTTCTTATTAGAAATGTTATCAGCAGGTAAACACAATGCACAGGAAAGTCTGCTATGGAGTAATGAGGTTTACCATGCTGATGGCCAGAATGTTTTAACAGGTTAAAACTATTTCTGGTAATTACAAAGAAGTCGAAAGGAAGTGTTCCCTCAAGCTCACAACACGTATTTTATACAGGAAGAAACAAGATACAAAACCATGAAAACTGCACAGACACAAATATTTGAGATGTACCTGAGAGGCAGAAAAATATATTAAAATGATCACTGATTGAGCAACATGGAAAGAATTCTATCAGTAGAAGAAAATAATTCTTGCAAGTCTCTGAGAAAGCACAATAAACTCCGCTTCTGTAACAATATTCAACAATTCCAACTGAAATTCTGATGCAACTTCTGGATATTGATGACTGACTTCTTTGATTTAGCTATTACTGTGCTTTTATCGACAGAGAAACCAACTTTCTGGAATGACAAAGAGAATTTCCTAAGGTCAAACAGTGAGTGTCTAGTTCTCCTCAATCTTATTCTCAATCAACCATACTATTAGATTGTACAACCATGAAACACAATCTCTTCCTTCTGAAAAGGTAGGTTTTGTGAGAAAAATAACAAGCTCCACCTGTCTATCCAGCTAGTATGAGCTATAGTGAAAATTTCATTCTGTAGAAAAACTGCAGATGTAGCTATTGTGGAAAAAAAGCACCCGAACTCATGTGCATATCAGAAATTGCCAGAGTGCTTTCAGCAGCTGCAACTATCACACACTTTCAGCAAGTAACTTCAACTCATCAGGTCTAACTCCAGCGTAGACAGCACGGCCCAGATTGCTTAGTTATAAATAAAGCCCTTGTATGGCACATGCTGCAAGGAGATACGAGGCTGGGGCCCTGCTGACTTGCACCAGCCCTGGGTTAAAGTTGGGCATTCCGGAATGGCAGCCCCACCACCCTCCCACCATGTCACAAGTGGAAGGAGCTGCGAGAACGTGCACACGTGTGAGTGTTTAAATACTCACCACTGGGGACTACAATAGACATTTAGCCTTGGGATGCTTTCTCTGCTGTACTGCAGAAAAGCAATAAAAATATGTGCTACACTGCAGGCTTTTTCTCTGCTTAACCAGCCCCTTTATTATTATCTCAGCTTCTCTCTTTCTGCAAACAAGGCCAATGGCAGTCTCAGGGCCGGGGCTGTCAACCACACTGTTCTTGTCTGACTGTGTTGTGGTGCACTCGGGACAAGGCGCCCGCAGGCCCCCATGACGCAGGCCCTTGTTGGCCCGCACGTTCATGGACACCACCCACTAGGCTGGTGCAAGCTGCCTGCTGCCCACAGGCAGCCCCACAGCATGAATGATGCAGGCAGTGCACAGGGCAAGAAGGGTTTGAGAAGTGCCACATCTCTGTGAGAAACCAGAGGGAGGAAGCTTGGAAAGCCTGGTCTTTGTCTTTTCCAGAATTAAGACTTTGATTAGCTGCTGGCACAAGACCAAAGCTCCATCTGAAATGCTTTAGATAACCCATCTGCGCTTGGTTTGGGAGTCTGGAGAAGCATGCCACAGCCCGTTCCTCACCAGCGCCGGCAGAAAAAAGGGGAGGATGGGAGGATGGCACTCACCAGCACTCCTGTGCCACCACTCGGAGCCTCCGAGGCCCGGGCTGGGCGCTGGCAGCCTGAAGCCGAGCTCAGCCCTGCTGCTCTGCAGCACCGGAGCCAGCCCCACAGCCAGGGGCTCTCCCCGCCTCTCCCCGAGCCCCCATGGTCCTCCACCAGTCCCCGCACCTCGTGATAAATTCCATCATTATTCAGCCCTTACTACTAACACCGAAATTCATCACTCAAAGCAAATTAGCCGAGATTCATTAGAATAAGACATCTAGTAGGCACATGTACTTTATTAGCCTCTTACACCAATAGTTTTAATTAGGTACATATTTCACAGCTCTAGAGCTACTCGAGTGAAGGGCTGCTTTTATCTCTTTTATTTACAGTAACAAGCTATCAAACAAATACCACCATAATTAAACTCAGATGCAACAACAAAAAATCCTGATTTTTTTTTTTCTTTTTTCAATCTTTATTAACAGCGACCTGCTCAGACCTCGGTGTTCGTACCCTGCTCTGCCCAAGGAAGGAGCGCGGGCCCCTGGGCCGGGCAGAAGCGGGGCCGGGCAGCGCCTGTGAGACAGCGCTGCCTCCATGTCACCTTCAGGTAACGGGCAGCGCTCTGCCGCGGAGGTGGCGGTGATGAGAAAAGTGATTAAAATCCAGAACATTTCTAAATTATTAATGAGGAATTTAAATGATGTTATAAAAGAGGGAAATACAGGCGAAAATGTTACACATTCATGGAATTTTTACTCATGCATAATAATCAGTTGAAAACACTTCGGCTATAATACTTCCTAAATTACGGGGCGATGGGGGGGGGGGGGGGCGATGTGTTTCCCGGGCCCGCCCGCCCGCTCCTCACTCTGCGATCAAGGGCGCCACCTCCCGGGCAACCCGGCGAAGCGCGCCCGCTGCCGCCAGGCGCAGGGCTGCCGGGTCCGGCGCGGCGCAGAGCGGGGGTCCGCGGCTGCGGGACTGCAGAGAGCACGCCGTTCGCATGCCCTCAATCACCACCTTGCTCACCTCTGGGCCTAGTGCCGCTCTGCTCTGTAATTAAAAAAGAACTGTAATACTGCGGGAAGTAACGGTGTGAAAAGAGCCCCATCCTGCTCTCGTGTGCGCCGAAGTCATCGCACCCGGTGCTGACCTACAGGATGGTGTGCACTTTCCTCCTCGCTCCCCCACAACCTGCTGCAATTCAGAGCAGTGCCCGCAGTTGGCAGCCTGAGAACAAAAGGGTTCCCCAAACCAAAGCTGCAAGACCATGTACCTTACACAGCGATATGTGTGTGTGTGTCTGCCTACGCAGTCCCTTCTGGAAAGACTTCCCCATCTTTGTGTCTGAACTCCTCATCTGAATGCTGCCCGTGGGCTCCACGAGGCCAGAAAACACTCAAGGGTCTCATCTTTAAAGACTTACTTAGAGCTGTGCATGATCGGGTAGGCACTGTGTCACCTACCACAGATTCCATCCTTTCCTTCTCCTGTGGTGCAGGGAAGGAAGCTGCAAGCCAAGGAAAGCAGAGGGGTCAGTGGACTGCAGCCTTACCACAGAGCCCTGAGACCCAGGCATCCCTCTGGCTGAACTCTCTAGGGAGATCCCACACTCCCCCGTGCCCTTCAGTTTGAGTTTGGTAGATCTGCGAAGCAGAGCCACCGTCTGATTACAATTGCAGCAAATAAGGCAAGAACAATCTCAGGCCACTCTGGTCTGTAAGGGCTATACAAATGCGCCAAGTCCCACTGAATGCTAACTGGCAGCTAGCACCAATTACTGGGTAATGGGCACTCCACATGACCCGTCACTTAATAAGTAGATAGACACAGTCTGCACTCACTTTTGGAGCTCAGTTGTCTCTGGCTGTAACGCCAGCTGAATGCTTTGCAGTGTGCTAGCCTCACGGTGACTAAAGCTCAGATCGTTATAGCAAGGCTCAACCAAAAGAAACTGCCACACTCTTCTCAATTGGAGCAGATGAAATAAAGGCTCTTGGACACAGTTCCTACCTAGGAGCCTGCCAGAGTCTAATAACTGCAACATGCTGTGATTCTAAAGTAAGTGTGTCATGGAGAGATACCCCAGCTAATTCTCAGGGAAGTAAATTTGCCTCAGCTAAAGTCTTTGTTAACACAGTGTTATTTCTTCTACTGCTCTAGCTGCTTCTGTCCCTTTCTCCATAGCATAGAAGCACAGTCGCTATCACAAGTCACAGATGGTAGCTGTGGTTCCTCTGGACAAAGCAGAGACATTCACATCAGAAACAAAAATTTGTCCTTTTTTTTTTCCTTCTTTGCAGCACTATTTAAAAAAATTTTGCTGAATTGAATTTTGAGCAATGTGGTTCCTCCACATTTACTGTCACAGAAAAACTCAATCCCTGTCTTTAGCCATTCAGAGGCATAAACAGGGAATGAATGCTATCGAGTTCCATGTTTTCTCCAAAATATCTTCAAATGAATATAATGAACAGAAGATAACAGAGAAGATCCCTGTGGAATCATGGGGCAAAAGGAAGTTATTGCCAAATAATCCCAAAGCATCCTGAGATAGTTTTCACAAATAAAGCAGCAGAGACTACTAAAACACCGTTCCCATATGTCCTTATTAAGAACGTGACACCATAACTTTCACAGCTAACACTATGAAAGGCTGCGGAAATGTTCAAAGGAATTTTGGAAGGTTTATTTTTCTCTTTGAAAAACAGAAGTTATCACTGAAGGCCTTACAAAAAGTGTGAAACTTTCAGAACATTAAGCCTCTGTAGGCAACCATTATATAGAAAATACCGTTAATATCTTTTACTGTTTTCTATTTTCGACACTGAGGAGGGCCTTACTAACCAGACAGTTAGCATCAGATGAATACTCAATGCAACAGCTGCATAAATGCAATACCACAACATGCACACGAATCAGTGAATTCAAAGGTTTTTGCAGTAGCCATGATTTGTACTCCACGTATTACAGACTATATGACAGTATTACACACAAGGAAACATCTCAGTGTGTGCAAGAACCAGCCACTGTACGGAAGGCCAACAGAAGTTTTAGATGCCTCAAAAGGCACATTAAATTCCAATTTTATGAGTTTATGACTGTATATTAACCTGATGTGACCTTCTTTATCTGAAATTAGTCTTCTTCTAATGTTGCATATATGTGCAATACAGTGAACTGATGGCTGTTCCATACTCCTTCACCTTCATGTATTTTGATTCTATACCTTGACATCCATCCATTGAATGTATTTACCAGGACTGAATTTCCTTCAAAATTACTTATAAAGTGCATGTAGGAGGTGAGAAGAGAACCCTCAGACTGCACTAGTTCATTGTGTGAAAAAGGCAGTAAATACAGATGTGGAACTCCATATTCATGCCTCAGCACGGCTATCTCTTCAGTTTCACACCTGCAGGTATTTATGTGATCACACACTAAAATAAACACAGCACGTGTGGGTGTGTAGAGCTGCACCTGTACTTATAATGAGACACTCAAAGAAATTCACTAAGTTTTGCGGCAATCCCATCTGACAAAAACACTCTTGCACATTTTGTCTTGCACGTTCAGTAGACTTATCCCAGTGAATCTTTCTGAGCACTGGGTTGGTCTGTCCTCTGTACTGTCTTCCCCTGTCCCAGAAGGAAAACCTCCCACTTTGTTACTTTCTCACAGCTTTTCTTAAGAGGAAATCCTGTGAACCACCTTCCTGCATGACATCTGCTGAGCTTATAGTTGATGGCACTGAAACTAGGCACAGAAGGCAATTTGCACACCCTCTGGGTCTGCTTATTTACCTACTTCATGTATATTTCCCTGTAAGGCAGCCACTGACTGGTGAGTCCTGCTCTGGCACAGAAATGTTATACATCTTGGGATTGGTTTTGAGAGTCCTCTTTCAGTCAGTGAAAGGACATGAACATAAAGTTTCATGGTGTAAGTACAGTGTAAAGCCTAGTATCTAGTATATTAAAAACACTATTACAGCAATTGAAAAGCACAATGAACACAGACATTATTTTCCCTGTCTTTTCAGAGGAAGAGTACTAACCAAAGTATTGAGTAAATTGCCCAACTAAGCATCAAACATAAGACTAAATATTGAAATTTTCCCACTTACTCAGACTTCCAAGCTATAAAGTCATTTGAAGCTCCGTAAGACTGAACAATTGCCTGCCAGGATTGGTAGGAATCTCTTCACTAGTGGTAACTAAGAGTATAAGAAAATTAAAGCATTATTGCCATGCTAAAGTGCTGTAACCACTGGACTTTGAACTATAAACATTTTGAACTCTGTGTTGTAATTCAATCCTACCACAAAGACATGAAGTCTGCATAACTATACGCATCTTAAAGAAACAGAAACAGTAAGAAGTATATTACTCTTTCACACCTTACAACCAAACTCAGCTTTTCCTAATAACTACTGTAGAAAGTACTGCCTAGTGTTTAGGCCAAGGGACTGTGAGTAGAGAAACAAATTCCTGTCTAATTTTCGCCAGTAACTGGCTAATCACTCAAACATTCCATGCCCTAGTTAACACATATATACCACAGGTATTATAATAACATGAACCTGCTTATTAAAGCTTGACTTATTAATGCTTGGAAAATACTTTGAAATCTTTAGAGAAAAGACTTTATGTAAGGATAATATTGTTGCCTTTAACTCCTTTAGTATGTCTGCCAACACTCAGAAAGCCTCTTGGAACTTCAGGTTCAATGTAGCTAAGAGGTTAACAGTATCTCTAAAACTTTCCTATTCTCCTGTAGAGAGGTCCCCACTTTGCCCAGACACAGATTCTGTTTCCCCTTCCCTCTTTACAGATGCCTTGGTAAAAAAGAGATTAGTTTCCTGACACGTACTGCATTTGTTGTGCTGACATCATAGAGTCAATGAGAACAAGTATTTATACTTCTATTATGCCTTCACTGAACTGAACAAGGTGTTCAACAGGACATTTTAATTATAATCCTACTTCTAGCAGCATGAGTAAAGGTGTTTAAAAAACACAATCAAGCATGAAATGGAACAGTAAACATGCCATTTCAATTACAAAATTATGTATAAGCACATCCTAACACAGCACAACATTTGAAGACTGTGAGAAATAATAAAATCCTATCTGAAGCCCTGAGAGGTTTTGTGCACAGAGTTGAAGGAGCTGGAATGCTCTCTGCTCACACTCTTTTGTGCATTTACACTGAATTTTTGGCTCCAGACAGAAACTCACGAAGTCCCCAGCTGTCAATTTTTGTACAGATTTCCATGAAGGAAACGTAGCTGTAAGCCGTTTTTGTGTTGTGGTGTCATGTCAAGACACGTTTTCTGCTTTGAGATCTCTTTTTTACTTTCTGGCCAAACTAAGCTGAAATGAAAAAGCAATTGCACTCACAGATCATTGCATCATTAGCTACCACTGTCTATCTGTACCACCATCTACCTAAAATAGGCAATGAAGCTAACACTGTGTCAAACTCAGATATAGATGTGACTCATCAGAACCTCCTGGACATCTGTGGTCTTCAGGAAAACATACAGCCAGCTCTGATGGGTATACATTAGAAAGGCCTGAACACCACACTGTCTGAGTAAAGGTGAAAGCTCTTCTTTTATGCGCTTGATACCACTGGGCACTCCAGGAGCTGCTGTGGTGAATACTCTTGCCAAAGCACAACCAAACCACGGCAGCCTGTCCTTTGTAGTCCCTGTGGAGACAGAGTTTCCCCACACAGTCTCAGAGAAAAGGACACTGGAACTCACATTTCTGTCATGCAAATTAGACTTGAACCAATCCTGGGTGCATTAAGTTCCCTAAGACATCTGGAGATCGTAATATAAAATCTGATGCTATCTTGTGATCTTGATTATTATCTTTTCCACAAATAGTTCTGTTCTGTTTAATAGACAATGCAATTGTTCAAGGTATGAAATTATCTTCTAGAATATCTTACCTGGAAATTACTCTGTTAATCTGACTTGAAAGTAATAACATCCTCAGGAATTTCACAGCCACTGAGTTGAATCTGTAAATACAGCAAACAACTAGTTTTTAGGAAAGTACTTAGTAATCTAACAAACAAATATGCAAAAACATATAACTGACAAGAAACTATACTGGTGTCTGTAAGTATTAAATAATACAGACAGCATTAGAAGTTTGCTTTTTGAAATACGATTTCTTACTCTTTCACTATGCTCTCAGAGTTGAAGGAAAAAAAATAGCATATTTTTTCCATTTCTGGAAAAACCTGTCTTTCTCAAAATGCCAGACCACCTCATTAGTGGAAGCCTTGGTTAGCTTATAGATAGCTGTCAGAGGTGTTTTGTTGTGCTTGTTTCCACTTCATTTTTTCCCCCCACTATTACGAGAAAGTAGAAGTAAAAGCAGAGTTTTCATTGCCTGTAATGGGAGCAGAATCTGCTTTTATTTCATAGTTCTTTTTCATTCTTTCCCTGGCAGTACTCAGAAAATCATGTGAGGAGAGATGCAACTGCAAGGTAACTTGGTGGTGAGGGCTCCAGAAGCCAACACTAAATGCAGGTAACATATTTTTGACTAACAGTGCACATTTACAGCCTCTGACCAGAAATTAAAGAGAAATGCTATATGGAGAAGTCATTAACTGATATTTAAAGCTGGGAAATAGAGGATGTATGAGGAAACCTAAAATGTAAGGCCTATATTTAACATCTCATCTCTTGTCTTCAAACTGATCAACTAATGGGGCAAGGCCTTGAAGTTCATTTATAGTGGAAGAAATGAGCATGAGACCTACTTGATTAATGCATCTTCTCCTTGCATGTAAGACTTACATTAGAAGAAAGCCATGCTGCTTTTGTAGTGTTTCAGAACTGCTGAAGCCAGATCAGGTCCTCTCAAGATTCTGGATAAACCAAGGTTCAGCCTATACAACTGAACAGGCCCATAAAAAATCCAAAAATTTTTCACCACCAGATATAACTTGTGTCATGGTTAGAAACAGAGATCGTAACTAGTTAGGCTTGAATAATTATCACAGGAAATGATGCATGAGAAAGAAAACATATAGTGCCAGGAACATAATTTTCAGGGTCAATTTCAGAAAGCCATAGTTTTATCTATGGACTCAAAAGAGAAGCAAGCACATAGCCTGGTATATAAAGGTCAGATTGAAGCCATTCTTCAAACATCTTCCTAGCTGGGTGTTGCTGAGTCTGGAGCTGAGCTCTGGCTTCTGCAGCCTCCAGGCTGGGCCCACACAACACTGGCAGATGCCAAGGGAGCAGAAGGCATTGACACCAGCACATTCATGGGCCCAAGGGTCCTCAAGACCTTCCAAGCATGAAGGCAGAGAGAGTAAAAGGAAAGTAGCTGAGAGATGATACAGCTGCTTTGCAGAGTACAGCCACAACGGGAGCTGTAATCAGAGAGAAAACAGCGTGCCTGTCTGAAACGCTATTTCTGCTTTATTGTGTAAATACAGGAACTATGACTTCATGTCTCACACTTCAAGAGACAAACTCTCAGGCTTGTTTTCTTCCATATCAGAGCTCTAAGACATGCAAAATGTGTCTCTGTATTTCAGTTCTGGCTGGAGGTTAATCTCTAGAAACAAGTAATGTAACATTTCCATCTATCTTTTCTATTCTTTTGGCGGTTTTAATTACACTAATATACTATGACACTTTAAACAAGACACATCTCAGCTTATGGCCTGCTCTGCAATGGTTCAGCTGCTGCGTGTGCTCCAGCACATTTTGCTCAGACAGGCTGCTGCAGGCTCGGGGTGCAGAATAGTGCCCTTCTGTCATGAGAGATTTCATTGCACTGATCATTGTGTATTTGACAGACTCTTTGTCAATGTCAAGTGTCTTTTGTGGTTAAGCCCAGTAAAGCTAAAACAAAAGGTCTCCTAGATATTAGATATATAGTGACATTACTGAATTCACTCGGAGGCAGTAATTTTTTGTCAGCCTCTGAAAAGAAAAATGGAGCTAATGGGAAAACAAAGGGAAGATGCTGGCATGTCTTTTTAGCTATTTTTGTTTATGTTAGACATAATGATTGACATCTGGCCCAGAACATCCTTTCAACCATTGAGGCTGATGTCATGAAACAGAACAAAGAGAAATGGGCAGGCAAGAAAACACCAATGGCTCAGAAAGCACTTTTTTGGGTTTATTTTCTTTTAAGTGTTTCATTTTCAGTAATCAGTATCACTGCACAAAAGTGCACTCATAGACACCTCCTCTTACTATTTGGACTTCTAAGTTTCCTTTGTGTTTGCTTTCTTCTTTCTTGCCTGAATGGCACCACAGTGCTGGTTTGGTTGGACGACAGTCTGTCATAACAGTGATGTTTGAGGTTAGTGAAAACTGACATGAAAAATACAATCAGCCTTTAACTGAAATAGCAGCTCTGTTTTTTGTGGAGTTGGCAAGAAGCATTTTAAAACCCCTTTCACACTGAAGGCAGTTACAACATGTTTTTCTCTGTATCAAGCAGTTCCATCATGAAGTGCATTATCTACGTCTGTTGTCGTATCAGGATACTGCCTTTGAAGAGCAGTTTATTGTTTCTTGTGTGATCACTTCTCCTGCTGAAGTGCCCTAAAAGGGTTAAGGGAATTTCATGGTCATGCTCCATTGCCAGGTCCTTTACAAAGCTTTAACATTTGTTTAAGAGAGTTTAGAAGTATCAGTGACCAGATCATTTCCTGCAGACACACAACACCATGGAGACTTCTGCATTTGCTCGCCACCTTATATATCAAAATAGGAAGAATCCCAGTGTCCTTCTTATATTGTCTAGAATCATTATATAAATTATAAGCATAATGCTTGCATTCTGCAAGTGCTGTAGATTTTGAAATACTCAGTCACCATTATGTGCTAGCAGGAGGAAATTATTCTTTAAATTTTTAACTTTGTCTTGAAAATATGATGCTCAACATAAACCAGATGACTATAACAACAACAACAACAAAAAAAAAAGAAAACAACAATAAAACATAAAAGAAAGCTTTTCAAAAGACAAGAGCAGGACATTTCATCGGCTATTTAGATACAGTTATACTCATTGGAAATCATTGGAGAACTTCTTAACAGAAGAGATCTTAATCACTCTAAGGAATTTGGCCCTCGAATGCATCAGGTGTTCTGCAGCTAAATATCCTTGCACCTCTTTAATACGGTTTATTTCAATATTTAATGCAGGGGTATATTCTCCTCTAGAAGCACACACTTAACTCCCCCCAGCATTAATAACAGATATGTTCACACATCAAGTGGAGAATTTTCTCTCTGTCTCTTTGCACAGTGTTCTAAAAAGAACTTTGAAGAAATTGAGAAAAACAGAAAAAGAAGTATATTAATTTTAAGGAGATGAAAGCACCACATGTCATTCCTAAATTTCATGGAAAATGCACCGTTAGTAACAAAGATGAGCAGAAAATTTCAAAATCATTTTGAGCAGCATTAAAATCAGTCCTCCCTGATTTTCTGTTTTCCCCTTCTTTTCAAAGCACATACATTAAACTCATTTTATGCTTATAATGTATATAATGATTCTAGACAACATAAGAAGGACACCGGGATTCTTCCTATTTCGACGTATAAAGTGGCAAGCCAATTTATGCAGCTTAAACCATTGCTAAAGAAGATGTATCAAAAATTGCCTGTGATCATTACAAATAACAGCCTGAAATGTTCACAAGAAGCTGTTTGCTTATCATATTTTCATTAAAACATCTTTTCACCTGCTTTCCTTTTCCCATGCCTGTAACCTGCATTGTAATCAGTCTTATTAACTGAGAACATAAATATGATTTATTATGGTCTGATAATGGAAGCTGCATGGACCAAGAGAAGGGATATATTGTCCTTTGATAAAATGGCTCTTTTCTCTCAAATAGAGCTCTATCATGAGAGCATGCAGAATGTAGTGAGTGATTATTTCCTGAGGGTGAATGATGGCAGAACCCTACAGAAAATCTTCTTGTTGGCCATGACAGCCTCCGAGTGTCCCCAAATCTCACTGAGTTTGACAACCTGCAGACACTTTTGATGAACTGTATTCTTCTGTCAGAGACAGCCTGTCTGGGAGGAGAAAAGGGAACCTTTATCGTCTGATCTGCTATTATTGTCTTGATCTTTTATAAGCAATCTCTAATGCACATGAATATAATATCCTTTCACACAAGTGCCAAACATAATAGAAATGTAGTTTAAGGACCTTTTTCCCAGTTATGTAAATGTCCTAGTACCATAATTATAAAAGATGGTTTGTGAATGATAGCTGTAAGGAAAGGGTAATGAAAATGTTTTAACATTATCTTTCTGTTTTAAAGACCAAAACCTGTGATAAATAGCATTTATGGTACATATGGGGAACCAGTTTGTGCTGAAGCTTTTACCTAAAAAAGAATAGTTTTGAGCATAAAACTGGTGCTATATTTTCATAAAACACACAGCTGATCTTAAGCCAAGAATGATCACTGGCAGATATGACTTAAAGAAAATGAGTATTCTACTCAAAATCCTTCTATGGCTGTTACACAGAACAAAGCATTATTATTGAGCAGTGTATTTGGACAAAGGGGTGTTCAGGCCCAACTAAAGTTCACCAACAAATCTCTCTTTTATCTATGTCCAGAAGAACAAGCATAACAGAATCTTTTTCAATTAACAGCTGTACACATTACCAAAACACCCGTCTTTCTCAGCTGAAGCGGTCTGGCTTATTTATCACAAAAAATGAAATGTTTGGTGGGAAGGTTTCCAAGTTTCCCAGTAAAAGCAAGATACTTGATTTTTCATTAACCTTTTGAAATCTGGAGGTGGGGTGTCCCAATATTAACTACTAATGGTCTTTTGCATTACCAAGTGGTGTTAAGAGAAGTCCCAATTGTCAGAGTCAAAAGGTTAATCAGCAATTTTACTACAGTGATGTGGTCAGTTTGCACGTTACTGCCTGAACAGGAGGAAGAAGAAAATAAGGTAATTAGCACATAACTACATCCCAAAATGATTACTCTATTGTATTTTTGTATTCGTATTTTTGTTGTTGGGAAATATTTCATGATCAACTTAGTAAATATTCAGACATTTGAGAGGGTTTTGTGAGAACTTTTGTGAGAAGACCAGGTCCAAATATGTGATCAGCTAGTTTGGCATATTCTACACTTACTTCATAAGGAAAACCAAAACAAATTATAGTTTACTCACCCACCAAATGCCTAGCCCAGGCCAGCATGATGGAAAAATCTTCCAGGTCTGATAATTGTGGAGATTTCAAAAAGCTATCCAGCAGCGGCTGATTCGGTCTGAGAGCTGTGTCCTGTCTTCAGGAGGTGAAGACATTACCATTGCCTTTCATTTAGGGGGAATTCCATAGTGTAGATGCCGTGTGATGGATGAAGATGGTTGATAACAAAAAGCTGAGCGAAAACTTTTCCCTCCTGTCCCCTTCTGCTGTGACGGTAGGGAATAAGCCAACAGCAGCATTTCCTGAACAAGAATGGACAGCAGCGTTACTTTATGTGAAGGTACTCATATCTGAGTAGCTCAGATGGTATCATTTGACCAGAAATGGGACTTGTGGCTCAAGACTTTTCCTAGCCCTAGCAAAAACATTTATTTTCCAAAAGAAAATATAAAATATTTCTGAAAACATTATACAATTTGGCATTTGCTATCACTAACAGTGTTTAAACAAAATGACTTCTCATTTACCCAGGCAATATTTGAAACAGTTGTATTAAGCCCTGATCAAAAGATTTCTGATGTTACCAGATGGATCAAGCCAGTTGTTTTATGTTTTTGAGACACTCTATTTTTCTTCCTATGGCTAAAAAAGCAGATCTTGCCCATAACAACATACTTCATCTTGGATTTATTCTGCATCACATTTTTACACTCGTCTCTTTCTCCATTTCCAAAAAAATCTACTGCTAAAATCTTTCTTCTCTTGATTGTTACAGTTTTAATGGGGACAGAATTTTCTCCTGAAATGCTCTGAAAAAAAATGATCAATCTTTCCAAGTGCCCTATTACTTAGTCCACCAATTAGCTGACTACAGACTCTGAGTGTCCTTGTACATCTTCCCAGTCCCCATCTGTATACTTGGCTGCATATGTTTATGCAATTAGAAATGGTGGAAATCTAATAAAATTAGGACAAACCTGAGTGAGCCATAATTCTGTATAATCTCTCAAACTGGACTGTTGAAAGCTTGCTGAATTCCCAAAACCTCTCTCAGGTGCCAATGAATGAGTCAATACCATACCAAAGATCTCACAGCACAGCAGATGTAAAATGTGCTTCCAGAATCTTATACACACCCTCAAATAATGAAATTAGTATCTCAAAAATAAAGTCAGGGAAAAACAAAACAGAAAAACAAACAAACAAACAAAAGTTTCCTCCAGTTACCGTTATCATGCTCAATGGTACAGAATGGAAAAAAGGAGAATACACTGCAAATTTGTAAGAGGAATGGGTTGCTGCTTCCAAAGTCTGTGCCTTCTTATGGCAATAGCAGAGCATTCCAAGCTGCCCACTTTCAGGTGAGGAGCACTGATGTTATCACACGGAGCTTTGGTCAGTCCTCCCAGAAGCCCTGAAAAAGATGAACAAAATGGGATAATTAACCTTTCTTACATCCTAAAATGATACGTGCCCAGACTTATCCTTTAGAAGCCTGTTCCGCATTTTCTTTTAGTCTGCAGTGGTGACTGTTAGTTTGCATATCAATAATCAGCAGCCTGGAAGAATCCCAGACTGCTTCATACCTGCAACCTCTCTTCACCCACCATTCAAGAGAAGCCAGCAGAGGAAGTGAAGGATGATTTTGGCTAAAACTATGAAAAATTTTCTTTGAAAAAAAAAAGTAGAATTATTTAGGTTTGATGAAAGCACATCAGAGAAGTTTGTAACTCTCTTCTTGCAAGAAGGGCCCCAGGATCTTTTGTCTCATGTTATGAGGACTCTGCTTTTGTATCAAAGCCAAACTATGCATTTGTTGCAGAATAGGATCTTCACTATGAATAGGAAGGTGTAAGGGGTGTGGCCTTCGGCTCGTATCTCAGAAGAAAATGTCTCTGGATCTACCAGTTCCTTTTCTTGGTTTTACACTGTATGTTCAACTTCCTCATCTCAAAGTATATGCTGTATTTACTCTGTGAGACCTTGCAGAACTTCAGCCAGGAGGTAACAGAGCCAGAAAGAAGTCTCCCATAATCACACAACTAAGGTATCACTCTCATTCCTAGTTTAATAAATTCTTTGGGATGGTGAGGTTGTAGAAAACGGATCTGGAAGAAATCATAGAAGGTTCAATAACTGACAGTATTGCCCATGTTTATGACTACTTTGTCACTGAAATCCTCAGCTGATGAAGACTTCATCACCTCTTTAGTCAATTATCCCAACATTTCCTAATTGACAAATACAGCTGAATAGTGAGAAACTGATTTCTTTCTGAGACATCTTGCTCAAATACAACTTAAATGTACTTATACCTTTCACCTTGTTTCTTCTCAATTAATTTCTGGCTTTATTATCGCCCCTTCACCATTTTTTCACTTCATCTTTTCTCTTACTGCTACCTTACTGTCTCTTCATTAAGGCACTCCCTTTCATTTATGTCTTTTGAGCTTTTGGCATCCTTGCATTTATTCTTTCTTTCCTCTTTTTTTTCTTTCCAAATACATTAAAAAAGAGAATCTCATCTGTTGGTGGCCTTGCTACAGATACTTATCTCTTGTAATCTCCTCAGAGGGCAGCCAAAAAGCCACATTTCTGTTCATTGTACTGAAAACACTTCGTAAACAATGACTCAAATTTAGATCTAAAGACTATGTTCTTGAGGTGTGACTGAACAGCATAGCTATGGGAAGCACACGATCTGTTCTGAACATGCACATGGATTAATACAGCAGGGATAGGTATTACATAGCCTCTAAAAAGGGAATTCAGAACCCCTGGCAGTCCTATTAACAGATGTCTGTTTCCTCCTGATTTTTAGGGTATTTTCTGAGCAAGACCACTTACAGGTCTGGACCTACAGATTCAAGAACAACAAATTTAGTGACTTCATCTCTAACTTATGCCAGGGAAAGCTGCATAAAAGAGTTAAGGCTGGAGCATCACCATAAGCAGAGAACTGTTTTACTTTGTACTCTCAGGTAAGGATCACTGTACGATTTTAAAGTATTTATAAATGCTGTAGTCTCCATGTGGCAGCTCCAAATTGCTTGGCCTAACAGGTATTTGGAGATGTGAAGATAAACTACCCCCAGCACAGCAGATAGTAATGTGATAAATAAAATGAAGGACTATGCTGCACACAGGAACAGAACAGAAGTTTGCTTTCTAGCACTATTGTTGTTGCAATAGAGGTATTTTGAACTGCACTATTTTCACATCTGCTTTGATCAGCGTCTGTGCTTAAAAGCGCAGTGGTCTGAAGCAAAGCTATTGTGGATATCTTAGAAAGGAGCAAGACTGTTGCAGGCATTAGCACTGAGGATCCACAGAAATGCCGATCTCACATGGTGCCTTTCTACAGAAGGTCTAAACATAAAGCCAAGAAACCAAACTTGCTCAGGAGAGTAGAGATTTGTCTCCTGTGTGATCTCACACATCACATTTCCTCTCAATTTTTCTCTGAAACAGGGACTGACAGCTTCATGGCTTCTCTCTCTGGACTCTTGGCTCTTCTGATGAGTGGCAGTTCCTGATTATGGGCATGTCTGATGACTGTGGGTCTGACCTCTCAAAGGCCTCTGGACACTCTGTATTATATTTGATAACGAAGCCTCCTTTTTTATCCAATCAACACACAAAAAACATCAGACCAGAGAGAACTGGCTCACTGCAAAATGGTGGAGTAAAGTCAGAGACATCAGCTATTGACTACTATCGAAAAACTGAAACTGCATCAGGGATTTCTTTTTTTAATTGCTATTTGGGGATTTAAATGAGATTTTTTTAAAAAGGAAGATACAATGTTTATTCTACAATCACTCTTTGCTGCCAATACAGGCTATCGTATAAATTACTTAGACACTTTTAAAAATACATTATTTACTCAATAACCCATAATGGGTCCAGAGCTCCTTTTACACGCTATTACAGAAGTACATAATTGCAGAATTTTCAAATGGATATTTCTTCTAGACAATAGTCTGTAATGGCTCCTTCAAAGCTCTTAAGCTTTTATCATATGAAGGCCTAAGTAGAAAATGTTTAGTTCACTGATCACTGACCTAATAGAGAGCAACAGCTTCTCTGGAACAACTACTGTCTGCTAGGGCAGATGATATATGAATGACATTTTAAAAAATTCTTGGAAGTATGTGCTAGGGAAGAAATACTGTTCATGTGCAAAGCAATCAGTGCTGATGGGATCCTCAGGGTTCTTCTGTTTGCCTCTGCACTGTTTGGTTTCTTGGTATCTGCCCTATCCCAAGAACAAAAGAAAGCAGTCATTCTTATGTGTGAAATGAGGACTCAATCTAGAATTCATTTGAGTCAATAAGAAACATTTCTTTGTTCACAAAGATCATTAGTTCAATTAAAAATGGTCTTAAAGGAAAATGCAGGTTTTGGTATACATTACAACATTTAAGAAGCAGAATTCTGTAATTGGAGAAGCAAGGGATGTTGCAAGGGGTCAAATCACATTTCTTAAGATAATACTGAAAACTATGTAGAACCCACCAGCTTAACCTAAGCACGATCCAGAAAGGAAACAGGCAACCTGAAACATTTTCAGTGCTATTGCCATGAATCTCAGGACCATTCAGCCTCTATTTTCTATTTGCATTTAGCTCTTTTCTGCTTCAATTTTATACACAAAGAAAGGTTCGTGTTCCCAAGTGCTTGAGGTAAGAAAAAATGTTTTCTCTCTCTGCAAACTTTGGGCAGTGCAATCCAAGGAGGCCCTATAGCCAAATAAGTGTCAGCTGGGTCTAAACACCCAGTCAGGATGGCCACAAGCTGGGGCAGAGTCTGACCCTCAGAGAGGCTGAAGAGAGGTCTCTGCTAGGTGTCCCTCATTCAGGCCAGTGGCTATGGGAAGTGCTGTTTATCAAAGGAGGATGCCCAGCTGTTGGATTTGGTCTTAACAGCTTGTGCCACCAGAGCAGACCAGCAATCCCCAGCACAGCCCTGCTTTGTAAATGGCTTTACATGTGAATCTCTCTCATGCCTTTTATTGGTGGATTTGTCCAGCCTAGTAAGGCTTCCTGAGACTTCTAGTATTCTGGCATGATTCACAGAAAAAAAATACAGTTGCTGGCAATTCTAATAGTTCCTTCTGTTTGATGCATCTGATTGAAGAGAAACTGAAATCAGAGACCAATATGCAACCAGGCTGCACCAGTTAGCCTCATCATGCAAATGAGGCACACTTGCAGGCGAACTTATTAGAGATCAAATAGTTTTAGGCACCAAGGATAATGAAGGCAGAGCGCTTATGTTGCAACAGTCAGAGCTGGAATTTAATCATGTTGTTCTTATCTACTGCAGTATTGAACAAACACAGAAACAGCCACAAAAATCAAACTGCTCAAATGAAAGGAAGATATAAACCAGAAAATAATAATAATAAACAAGACTCAAACCAAGAGACATTGCAGTGGTTTCAAGAAGGAATAATCTTGCAGCATAGGGTTTGAGCCTTGCCTCTTTCAACTGAACTGCTGGGAAAGTGGCTTTGGCAGGAGAAGCAGTAGCATACTGCTGTCCCCTGCACACCTGGGAGGTGGCCCTGCAGGGAGGAAGGGGGAAATGCCCCAAAGAACAGCACTTGGAAGTCAACCCTGAAGCAAAACATAACTCACATTGGTAAGTAGCATCTCCTAGGAAATAATACAGAAAAAAGAAGGGGATAACCTCTGGTAATAGAAGTTACAACAGAAGTTACGCAACTGACAGGCTGGATTAGCAATCTGGTAGGCATTAAAAATAAATTTTGCAGTGGCATTAGCACCTTCTGTCTCAAAAACCCTTTCACATGCTCCTGACATCCTTCATATAAACACCTGGGGAAACCCACAGAGCATTGCTTTGTTTTTGAGAGCAAAGATGAGATCCAGCAGGTGAAAGGCGCAAGATGGAGACATTTGGATTCCTTTTGGCAGACTCAAATGGCTAAAAATACTGTTTGGCATTTTTTTTTATACCAGTTGGTAGTAGAAGAGCTCCAAAGATGTCAACAGGAAGCCCTAGAGGTTAGAGAGAATGATGTAACCACATGTGACATAATGCTTGGTGTGGAGATTTCCTGGAATTGATTAGTGCAGCTCATGATAACAGCAGCCAGCAAGAGTGTGAGGACTGGGTGAAGGCCCACGCACAATTCAGGCACTGGATATTTTTCTTTCCCTTTTAGAGCACTGTCTTGTCTCATTGCTTCAGTTGCATAGTATAGTAACTGCAAAGTATTTCCATGCAACTTTCTTTGGGAAGATTTGAAGCAGCACACTTCTCAGGAACACACAGCTACTCCCATGCAAAAGGACACACAGAGACAAGCGCAGAGTGAAGGACAATGAAAACTCCCAGGTTCTCCTTCCTTGAGAATATCTTCCCCCTCTCCATTCCCTTCTTCCT